CGCACTTTGGCCCTGCGGTTGACTCAGCCTCTCACACAAATAAGTGCCAGGAATATTCCTGGGGGTAAAGGGTGACCGGCGCATAAGGTTGACAATCTTACCGTCATCTGTGAGCCGATTGTGTAGGAACTTTTGGAACCTCGGCATCTCACAAACCTATGGCCCTCCAGGGCCTGTTAAAGGGATCACTCACTCACTCACTCATTCACTCACTCACTCACTCACTCACGGAGCTGAGTCCTTCTGGAGGAGCCGTTAATTCTGCAGCTACTGAAGAATTTCCCAGCATCTTATGGAACCCGAAGGTTCATTACCTTGTTCACAAGACCCCTCCACTGGTCCCTATCCTGAGGCACATCAAGCCAATCCATAACATCACATCCTATCTCTCTAAGAACCATTTTAATATTGTCCACCCACCTCCGTCTTGGTCTTCTTAGTGGTCTCTCTCCTTCTGGCTTTCCCACCAATATCCTATTATATATTTCTCTTCTGCCTCGTTTGTGCTACATGCCATGCCCATCTAATCCTCCTTGACTTGATCATTCTAATTACACTTGAAGAAGCGTACAAGTTAAGAAGCTCCTCATTATGCAGTTTTCTCAAGTCTCGGAATTTCATCTTTCTTCGGTCTAAATATTCTCTTCAACATCCTTAATTTACTTTTACTGGAAGACCGAACGTTCATTATCGGTTACAGTATTATCCTAAATTTGCACTTTTAAGACAGACTTTAAATTGAGTTTCAAGCACTTTCACGCAATTTCTACTTTATCTTTGGCAATAACCCTATTATATCCGGCTGTATACCCATATTTACTTCAAACTCCTACTTTCGTTGCTCTGCCACTAGCACCAAGCTGAACAGAGAACTCTGCCTACCTATATAGTTCTGAGTCCTCATATTTTATTTAGAACCTACTTGCCTGTAATAGGATTTGTATGTGGCGCCTAGTGAGAGACTATACGAGGTTGCAATCTTGCTACGCTTGCTTCTGGACCTGACTGGCATACTTTGTAGTACTAGGGATCAGCAGCGCATCCTTGCGACTTGGAGACACCGCGAACAACCTCCTAGTCTCCGCTTATCACTTGAAACGAACACACTAAAACCTTAAATTTCGATGTCGCCTGTGTGGAATGTGGAGCATACGTAACTGACCGGATGGGTCAACCATTTTTATAAAGTACAGGAAGACGTCAATAAAACTAAACACCAACTAATAAAGGCTTTATTCTTATGGAGACAATTATCTGCGGAGGGCCACGGAAAACGCTGACGGTACGTCTGTCGGGGGCCGAATAGAGCTGATTGGCTTAAATCTTAGCACGTGACGATCTTGCTGTCGCGCTACTGGCATCCATACGCCATCTTGTCTAAATCGTGGCACCGTACTATATAATGAACATCTCAACGCAAAGCTTCAAGTCACATATCTCTAATATTTCCGTGAAAGAAACATTTCACATCATAGTTTCTGTTGTGTCATTAGCCTGTATTGAGGCTAGCCTCCAGACACTTGCCGCCACTGTGAGTTCTAGCTTCACTCATGCGGCTGATTGCCTGATTGTCATTCCGCCTAGGGACGTGGCCCACGCAACAAAGGGTGGCTGATTGCGGTTGATTTCCGCGATCATCCCTTACTCGTCAGAGATTCAGTTACAGCCTCTCACCCACCAGAGAGGTTTTGGGACAAATTGAAGCCCGATTCCGTCACCATTTATATGCATGCCTCCGTTTTATTGTTCTTACAACGCCAAGGCGAAAATCGAGTGTTGATAGATAAAGTGAATCGATACTTTCTTAGAGCTGACAGCACCTTCAGATTTTCTTTAGCTTCAGAAATTTATATAACTTCCTCTTGTAGGACTAGTCATCACAGATGCGATTATGGCTTTTATTTCTATCGCGTTGCTTATTGTTTGTCATTTATAGTGTCACGACTTAGGGCTGCATGTGAAGTACAAAAGGGATTTGGATTGGATGAACTGGATTTATCGACGTCTTGTACACACAGCGCATAACTGCAATTTATTATAAAGCTATCGCTATTTCCACACTTTACAATTCACTCTTAAACACACTAGTGTCCTCAGTCTTCACTAGTCGTATCCTGGCAACGGATTTATAACAGTTTCACTGTAATCTCGAATCACACATAAAGTCTTCTTTGCAAAGCCTGATTCTTTTCTTGCCATTACTTCTCAATTCTCTGCTGCAACTGACAGCTCTGGAACTCGATTCATTTCTCTGCTGCAACTGCCATCTCTTCTCTCTTCGCGGAGCTCATCTCTGGACTGCCATTCCAAGTCCAAGCCCAAGTCACATTGCGGCTGACGGTCAGTCAGTCAGTAAGTCTTGGTGTCGAGCCGCATCTGGGACTCATGACCAGATATTTATTACTCTTTGACAGTTACGGTCTTGTTTTTGTGGGGCGCCCTCTCTGGCAAGAGGACGGGTCTGTCTTTTGTATATGCTGCTGGACTGCCATTCTCAATTGACTCAATATAACCACTTTGCACGGACCGAATAGAAACACTGTTTCCAACAATACCCATATTGTTACTTTTACCAATCCGTTGCTTAGAAACGGTTCGTCTATTGTTGCATGCATGTATATTTCCACGGGAACCTGTTTACCACTGTTGCCTAGCAATGAACTATTCCTGGTTTCGGGCGTCATGTCACAGTACACAGTAAGTTCTCGATATAACGGACTAATAGGGGGACAGGGTTTCCGTTATTGCCGATGTCCGCCATTACAGAGTGAAGGGCTATTCACTGAAGTACACCATAGGATACAATTGGATAGGGTAGGATTGCAAATACACGCAATAAACATATAAACGCACAATGTGGTTATGTAAAGGTCTTCATATTGGGTTCTTCTTTTATTTTAAATAGTTTTCAAACTGCAAAACCTTTTAAGTTTCTGAACATTTCTAAAAAAATCACCTTTGCCCACATCAGATCTCGTCCGTCAATCCGAAATCCGTTATATTCGGGTCCCATGTGACATTATATAACGTGAGTTGGTGAGCAACTGGCCATTGCATATTTTAAGGGAAGTCACTGACTTTGGTGTATCAGGCTCTAATCCAGGGCCTCCTGAATACGGAACATGGATGCTGACCACTTGACCATGAAGTTCGCATGACTTTTTTTTAATGATGGATTGTTGGGGGGGGGGAAGTGGTGCGTGAAAGGAATCTCTTGCCGTACCGTCTCAGCACTTGTCTGAAGGGACTGAGAAAATGATGATATGGCTGTGGGTGGCCGTCATGCAGACGGAGAATCGAATCTGGAACATCCCTAATACGAAGCAGTAATTGACGTTCTATTGCTTCTGTCGTTCTGTTCATTTCTGACATCTGCGCAAGAGTTTGTGAAAAGTTCTACATGAAACCGTAAAGCCGATAACTCGCTTGGTAGACCGGTAGCGTGATACAGCTCACCGAACGCAAGGAGCGGTGAGTGCCCTGTAATACACAGCCATTGTCTAGTCTTTTTATTATCTCAGAGAATTATAAATGACATTCGTTCACTCTTTTTAGCTTAACACGCAATTCTGTGAAAATGAGCACACGTTTTTTATTGTGTTTTAAGAAAATTATATAAAGCAAATTAATAAAGTGGGCTGCAGACGTACAACTAACTGCTGTTAAAATATCAAATGGACAGTTCCTCGCTCGACCGGTTTGCATCGATATTTCGGTTTTTATCATCGCCGTGGGGAAATCCATTGGCTCTGAGGGGCTTATACTGCAGGAAAACCAGCCATCCTTCAATTAGCTGACTGGAGACCTTACAGTGGAAATGGCTATTTGCCGGGCCGCGTATAGGTGTCTTGAATCGGAGGGTTCAAGGTAAGAAGCCAGGCAGGTTAAAGTTTTCATAGACATTTACTTTTAAATGGTGTGGTTAGAAGATTGAACTCTGGTAATGCTAGCTACCATTCAGCCCAGAACCTTTTGTCTTCTCGTATGCTGGCTAAAACCGTAACAAAATATACAGAAGTATAATTTTGCTCGTGGTTCTGTATGGGTGTGAAACTTGGTCTTTGACTTTAAGGGAGGAACATAGACTGAGGGTGTTTGAGAGCATGGTGTTGAGAATATTTGGGTCGAAGAGAGATGAAGTGAGAAGATTTTGGAGAAAACTGCATAATTAGGAGCTTCGTAACTTGTACTATATTCCAAGTATAATTAGAATGATCAAGTCAAGGAGTATGAGAGGGGCATGGCATCTAGCACGAATGAGGGATAGGAGGAATACATATAGGATATTGGTGGGAAAACCAGAAGGAAGGAGACCACTGGGAAGGCCAAGGCATAGGTGGGTGGACAATGTTAAATTGGATCTTAGAGAGACAGACTGGGATGGTGTGGATTGGATTGATCTGGCTCAAGATAGAGACCAGTGGAGGGCTCTTGTGAACACGATAATGAACTTTCGGGTTCCATAAAATGCTGGGTAGTTCTTGAGTGGCTGCGCAATTGGTAGCTTCTCAAGAAGGGCTCAGCTCCATGAGCTCCATGAGTGAGTGAGTGGTTAGCCATCCTAGTCGAGTACCTCAGTCTTTCATAGTTCTTATAGCCTTTAGCCACATTAAACAAAAATAATATCGTCAGCGAACATAATTAGTGCCTCTCCCTGGATTCGAATCTTACATCTCATAAATACAAATCAGTACATTATCGCTGTGCTATTTGTGCTGAAATTTGTCGATGAGCATGTTAGTTGTGCTGTATGGTTTGAGGAACCTCTATAGCATTTAGTGTGTACATATGATGAAATGTGAACAAAGTGGAAACAGCTGCCCTATTATCCCAACCTTCTCTCATGGAATACACAAAACCTAATAGTCACTGACACGACGGAGACCTTCCGTCCTAAACTAGTCAGCCTTCATAAATAATGCGTTGACAAAATGTGGGTTCATTTTAACAAATTTTCCAGTGTCGCCTTAATGACATTAAGTGTATTTTTTCTTTTTTAGGCGTTTGAACAACAATCGTCTACGTCACATTCCCGACATGCTCTTCGGCAACATGCCCAACCTCCTTCGGCTGTAAGTACACTGTTTACATTTACCAGTCTGGCAATCTCCTGCTCTGTTGTTCGGCACTTTCACTGTTCATAGGAGATCCACAGTCGAGATGTCAGTGTAGTATCACGTCTCACAGTAGTGATCTCTGAAACCGAAGAGCGTGTTTCCAACATTTGGAGAAATAATATTGTTTTGTGTTTTTGTTTGAGGTTATACTGAGTGATTTTCTTGTAATACTTAATCCTTTAAAGAGAATTTCTTAAAAATTATATATAAAAATTCAGTTCATACCTGACAGGAAACACCTTACGTCTCGGCTACAAAGACTACCCAGTTAATGTTGTTTATGGAAAAAATAACACTCAGATACACTCTGCGCAGAAAGCAGTTGGTACGTAGAGAACCACTGGGCTTTAACAGGCTTAGTAATGAAGGAAATATTATACTCTGTGTATGTCTCATGTATTATGATACTCGTAGCTAATAGAATAACTGAATGGTCAGCAAAATTTCATTCCAGTTGAATTCTAAACTCCACAATCTCTCGGATGATCAAGATATTGTCCTGTTTTTGTGAAACCCCGGATATTTATTACAGTGCACATTAGGGACTGCTGCTGGTCCCAATCCTGAGCCAGTTGAATGTAGCCCATGCTGTCCCCGCACAATTTTTGAATTCATTTTGACGATATTCTCTCATCTTAATCAAGGTCTTGTAGATAGTCTCTTTCATTAAGCATTTCTAAATACATTTCTATATGCATAATAAGGCCAGTCAAGCATAAGACATGAAAGAGACGTAAATATTATGTAGTTAGCTGCTTTGTTAACTTGCCAATGAATGAGTTGCTTACTTCATTGCTTAGTTTGCTTGCATTACTCTCGAGTCACCGTCGCGTCTTTCAGAGTAAATTTAGTTTGTATTTTACGAGGATCAGAATGGAGAATTTGCTTGGGAAAAGGAATTTTCTGGGTTTAGTCTCTCCGTCCTTAGACTTCACTTCCGTATGCCATACCTGACACTTGTTCTCATGGGCAGTGTGGCACTTCATCGTACAACAGTGCCTATAGTGCCACTTGTAATCGTAAAAGCAGTTGCTGACACCAGGCTTTACTCGGACAGTTTGTGTGTGTGAGTGAAGTGAGTTGGGGGGCGGTGGATTTGTGTAATTTTACGCCGCTGAATCATTGTTCTCTTGTTTAATGTGTCTCTAGTAAATGTTTATGCATAGAAGGGGCCACTGCCTCAGTCTATTGAGAGATGCTTTAGAATTTCTCGGTTTATCACCGGTTTCAGGATTATCACATAACCAGTCGACTCTATCCATCAATATCTGTCTATCTGTATGTCTGTCTTGTCTCCCTATCTGTCTGTCTATCTATCTATCTATCTATCTATCTGTCTGTCTGCCTGTCTATCTATCTATCTATCTCGTATCTGTCTGTCTGTCTCTGTCGCCCTCTTTATTACCTTTCTTTCTGGGTGGTACAGCTTAATTCTTCCGTCTCTATGGCACACACCTCTTCTCACAGGAAGTACGAGTATTGATACACAGCCATGTGGATAGAAAGCGATGAATACTTTCCGTATTATCGTCGCCTTTTCTCTCCCTTTCCGTGCTGAACATTTTCCATATGTAGATCCAGTTTTATATCAATTTTCATTCTATATTTTCTGGTCCAGAAAACATTTCCGATAAAGATAGATTTCCATTTCAGATAAAGTTAACACTGCTAGCCTCGTAAAGTAAATAGTGCCGTTTATTTGGACGCAGGAGTCATTAAATTCCTACGATAACTTATTTAATGCTTGTCGTCTAGGAGGTTTAGGGTTCCAGCCCCTTCATAGTTCTACATTGACGTGTTTCCTTGCAGCGCATTTACCCAAACTGTTACAGCGATAGCCACGAAATACCAGGGTGCGCCACTGCCTAGCACTCAGCTCTTCAGAAGACGAGACTTAGGACTAGAGATGCGACACAAGAATTCCTTTGCAACGAAAGAAGTAGCAGTGTCGCGGGCCTACAGCCACCTAGGAGCTGTCCAGATTGGGCCCGGAATGTATTCGAAATTCCACCCCTTCTTGTGCTGTTTAAAGGCGTGTTTCGGGTAGTTGCTAGGGGATGGACCCCACTAGAATCTGAGGAATGCAATCTAATTTTCCGGGTGAGAACATGACAATCAGTGGACAGCCCGTGAGGGGTGTGTGGGGGAGGGGTTGTTGATGCGCGCTCGTTGCTTACCGAATATTAAACACTTGCCGAGCCCCAGGCATTCTACTGAAGAATTCCCAAACTGAAGATGCAACCTACTGAAGGATTTCCGCAGACAGATGCAGGTTACTGAAGAATTTAAAAATACAATGTAGGATTTTATCAGGCAGCGGTCTTGGACTGTTCATTCACGGGCATTAGGTTCAATTCTTGCTCGGAGCCTGGATATATCCATATATTTCCAATATATGTACAGTCCTTTCAATAAGTATATTCCTTGTCCATGATGTCATACAAGTGATCTGAAGAAAACTGTTATTACACAAATTAATACCGAATTGAAACAGGCCAAATGACGTTAATCCCTTATCGTTGAAGAAAAAGAGAGGTGTTTTTTCTGTAGTTCGGTAAGTGAGAATTTCCAGTGTTTGAAAGTTATGAATTGTGAAAATTTGGCAAACAGTTTATTTCCGCTTATAATTTGGGTCTAATGGGAGGAGTTATTCAGAGCAAAAATGCATGGGAAGTTCTTTCACTTGATTTATATTCTTTTAACAAGCCTTTGTGACTAGAGGAAACCGAAACTCAAATTCGGTTGAAGAAATAATCACGTTACGGGTCATTTAAACCACTGGCATCTGCGAGAGATAACGAGAGGAATTGAAAATATTTCCACATAAATGAAATTTCTGAGTTTAATAAAAACAAAATTCCAATTCGCCATGAACTTAGAAAAGAAAGAGGCCTATAAATTTTGAGAAGAAATTTTTGTTTCAAAAATTGTTACAGGCCTACTTTTGACTGCTTCACAAAGTAGGTCAAGGTATATGAAACAATACTGTGACATGACGCCAGAAAAGCCGGAATAGTGAAATCAGAGGAGACGTCCATTGCTAGGCAGCTGCTTGGGAATTACATTCCCACAGCAACGAATACGCAAGCAGCAATCGAATAACTTCCGTTGCTATGCAACAGCGCTGTAAAGACGCCTTCGTAGCAACAGAGGAAGCGGTGTTTTCCGTGAGTCCGCCTTGAGGCTATATAACGAAGATCTCACGCAACTGAAATTAGAATTGGGTCGAGTTCTGGAGATGAGAGTCGAAGGTAATTGAGAAGAGGTGGCAAGAAAGGAATTAGACCGAGGAAAGAATACCTCATGTATTCTACAGTGACACTGGAACTTATAAATTTGTTGCCAGGATACGGCTTATGAAGACTGAGAACCTTAATGTGTGTAACGGTGAACTCTAAGTGTGTATATCAGCGATAGCGCTGTAATTTCCTGTAGTTCCGAGTTGGATGGAAGTGAGCGTTCAGCTTCAGGTTCCAGCCGCCTTATCGTCGTTGGAATTATCTAGAGTGAAATCGGATTATTAATTATATTATACTATGAAGAAAGCAGTCTTCTGGGATTTGGCACCGCGTATATGTGGTGTTAACCGACGTTTCGGAGGAACGTATCGCCTGCAGTCTGCTTTTACCGGTTCTCACGGTCTCTCCGCTTGCAGATTTCTTATATATTTTTTCTTCTACCCTGAAGATGGAGGCGATACGTTCCTCAGAAACGTCGGTTAACACCACATATACGCGGTGCCAGATCCCAGAAGA